AACATAACTTACTTACACAAAATTCTAACGAATTTGACGAAAAGGACCATAGCTACACATTTTGATGAGTTGAGGGACCAATGGTAATAGATTCTTAATTGAGAGATCATTACTCCAATTTGATTAAAGTTGAAGGACCATTATTACAGTAAACTGGGCCAAAAAGAAAGAATTGAAAAATTACCAAGAGAGAAGTAAAAAAAAACAAGTGTGCCGGCTTGTTTAAAGCACTTCTTTTAAAACCCGCACATCAGCCGCGCCTTAACGTTCTTCTCCCAGGTCAGGTGACTGACGACTGTGGCATTTCATCAAACACCTTACCTGCACTTCCGAACCCCACCCCATCCGCTATGAATATCCAAAGCATGTTATCTTCTTCCTCAAGGTACTTGCGATGCTACATAGAGCAGCAACATCAAACCTACGCGCTCTCACTTCCCTCCCCAACTCCGCTCCAATTCGGCGCTCGAATCACAACCCCCCGTGTTAGGAACCTGCTCAACCTGTACAGTATAGCAATGAAGATATGGAGTGGAAGAGGTAGAAGACGAGCAAGAAGCTCGTGTGAATTTCAATTAATAATACTTAAAATATTTGTCTGAGGAGCAATGAGGCCATTGCTTCATTTAAGCAGCCTTTCCACTCAGAAATGCCAACTCAGCATTCCATTACATAACCAACTCACTAAAGGACAAACCCTTTTATTTAATAAACTGAAATTACAACAAAATGAATAAAATGCATATCCTAACATCACTCCCTCCTTAAAATCAACCTTGTCCACAAGGTTTCAGAGCTAAAATGTTAGGAATCTGGCATGAAAATCATCATAATCCTCCCAAGTCGTTGTGCTCTCTTCTTGTCCAACCCACTGTACTAGCAACTGAATACCTGCCTTGTCTTCCTTCTTGTAAATTCTCCTGGCAATTATTGCCAAAGGAGCATCTGATGGATGAGAATCCCGCATCTGAGCTTCATCTGTCAGTGTTGGTAGAGTTGTTATGGGTGAATCCACATTTCCCATGTGCCTCTTAAGGCAGCTGACATGAAAAACAGGATGGATTTTTGTTCCCTCAGGTAGTTTGAGTTTGTAAGCAACATGTCATACTCTCTCCAATACCTCATAAGGACCGTAGTATCGAGGGTGTAGCTTGTGATAAGCATGTAAAGCCAATGTTTGCAACTGATATAGCAGTAACTTGAGATAGACTAAGTCACCAACAAAAAACTCTCTCTCGATCATTTTCTTGTTTGCATGAACTGCCATTCGATTCTGAGCCATTGCTAAGTTAGACCTGAGTATGGTAAGCAACTTATCCCTCTCAATCAACTATTGTTCCACCGAGTCCATTTTTACAGTACCTAACTCATAAAAAGTAACATGAGGAGGAGGGTACCCATATACCAATTCAAATGGAGTAAATTTTGAAGAAGTATGATAGGAAGTATTATAGTTCCACTCTGCCCATGGTAACCATTTGACCCAATTCTTAGGTTTGTTTCCCACAAAGCACCTCAGATATGCTTCAACACACCTATTGACCACCTCAGTTTGTCCATCACTCTAAGGGTGGTACCCCGAGCTAATGCAAAGTTGTGATTCTTGCAACTTAAAGAACTCCTTCCAAAAAGAGCTCAGGAACAACGGATCTCTGTCACTCACAATTGTAGATGGCATTCCATGCAGCTTGAATATGTTATCAACAAACAACTGAGCAACAATCACGGCAATATAGGGATGAGCTAAAGCTAAGAAGTGAGCATACTTAGTAAGCCTATCTACTACGACAAAAATGACAGTTTTGCCTTTGCAAGATGGTAATCCCACAATGAAATCCATGCTTATATCAGTCCATATTTTTTGAGGAATTGGCAAAAGTTGAAGTAAACCACGAGGAGATAGAGTTTCATACTTGTTTTGTTGGTAAGTATTACACTCTGAGATATATGTCTTTATGTTGCCCTTCATACCTGGCCAATAAAAACCCCTTTTTAGCCTATGATAGGTCTTCAATACACCTTGGTGCCCTGTTGCAGGTGTTGAATGATGCTCAGTTAAAAGCTTAAGCTTCCAAGTGGAATTGGGGCTGATTACTATCCTGGACTTATACTTGATTAAGCCATTATCAAGATGATAATGGGCTAACTTAGAACCACTGCTATTCCACTTCCCAAGGATGTAACCTCTGCCCTTTTCTGCTTGATCCAAGCATCTTCTTCATTGTATCTTCTTAATTCATCCAACCACCCAAAATAGGGGTAAGAGATAGCTTGACAACTCATGGATGAATGATTTACCCCATTAGAACACTGAGTGTCATGATCTGTGACTTGTCTTCTAGAGAGGGCATCAGCAACTACGTTATCAACACCCTTCTTAAAATGAATTTCATAATCGAATCCCATCAATTTAGAAACCCACTTCTGTTGGAATGTTGTATGAGCCCTTTGGTTTAGAAAATATTTCAAGCTGCAGTGATCAGTCTTGATTATAAAATGCCTACCCTGAAGATAGGACTGCCATTTCTTGACAGCATGTACAATTGCAATGAGTTCTCTCTCATAGGTGGAGAGCTTGATTCTTAGGTCCTAAAGCTCGACTAGTAAATGCAATTGGTTTCCCTTGTTGCTGTAGAACCGCACCAATGCCATTATCAGAGGCATCACATTCCAACTCAAATGGCAGTGTAAAATCAGGCAAAGCAAGGACCTATGGAGAGGTCATAGTATCCTTGAGCTTCTGGAAAGCTACTTCAGCTGCTGGGGTCCACAAAAATCCATCATTCTTAGTCATATGGTAAAGTGGTTGGCAGATTTTGCCAAAACCAGGCACAAATTTCCTGTAATAGCCTGTGAGACCAAGGAAACCTCTCAATTCTTTCACTGTAGTAGGCTTAGGCCAGTCCATGATAGCCTGAATCTTGGAGGGATCAGCCTTTACACCTTTGCTTGATATGACATGGCCCAAATATTCCACTTTACTTTGACCAAAAGAACATTTATGCTTTTTAACATAAAGTTGGTGCTGCTGCAACACTTCAAATGTCATTTTAAGATGTAACAAATGGTCTTCCCAATTCTTACTGTAGACCAATATGTCATCGAAGAACACAAGGATGAAATGCCGCAAGTAGGGTCTGAATATATCATTCATAAGGCTTTGAAATGTCGCAGGGGCATTAATGAGTCCAAAAGGCATCACTAAGAACTCATAGTGACCTTCATGGGTTCTAAAAGCAGTTTTTTCAATGTCTTGAGGATGCATCAAAAGTTGATGATAACCGGACTGTAAATCAAGCTTAGAGAAAAACCGAGCACCATGTAGTTCATCTAAGAGATCGTCAATCAGAGGAATAGGGTACTTATCCTTGATTGTTATGGCATTAAGCTCTCTGTAGTCCATACACATTCTCCAGGTTTCTTCTTTTTTCTTCACAAGAAGAACTGGACAAGAGAAAGGACTGTGGCTTGGTCGGATAAAACCTGCCTTAAGTAGTTCTTGAACTGCTTTCTCAATCTCAGTCTTTTGCAAGGGACCATAATGGTAGGGTCGTATATTAGGGGGCTTAGATCCAGGAATGAGTGGAATTTGATGATTGTGAACCCTACTAGGCGGTAGCTCAATAGGTAAGACAAAAATGGTGTCAAACTGCCCCAACACTTCTTGTAGTTGCTTAAGTTGCAAGGGGTTTAATTCACAAGCTTCAACCATTTTATCTTCAATGGAGTAAAGGAACAAGCCCAAATTAGAGTTGAAAATCTCTTTGTCAAGCTGTTGAAGAGTCCCCTCTTGAATCAGTGGAGCATGTGTGTCACTATGAATGAGTTTATACTGAGAACCATTCTTGGCAAATTCCATAGTTAGTAGCTGGAAATCCCAGAGAACCGGGCTAACTGAGGAAAGCCATTGGACCCCTAATACTATGTCACACCCTCCTAAAGGCAAGGAGTATAGATCCACACCACATTCATAACCCCCAATTGATAAGGCAGCATCAGTGTAGCAACCTGAACTACTAACCTTACCCCCATCCGCAATTATCACTTCAAATGGTTTAGTGGGTTGAGTGTGCCAAGCAAATTTCTTAAGGAGTCTAGAATCCACAAAGTTATGCGTGCTTCCAGAATCTAAGAGAACTGTGACTTGTTGACCATTCACTAAACCGATTACTTTCATTGTTTTCACAGTGGTCCTAGCAAGTGTGCCATAAAATGCACATTCACTAAGTTCCATTTGTAAAAATTCAGGTAGAGGTTCTTCTAACAGTAGGGTGGTGATCTCCTCTTCAGGGTAAGCTAAATCATGCATGAGGAGTTGCTTATTAGCACAATTATGTCCCGTGCGCCACTTTTCGTCACAAAACCAGCACTCACCCTTCTCATTTTTACGCTAAATATCCGCATGAGTTAACCTCTTCACAGTGAAATTAGAAGGTTTAACATTAGGAGTGATGTGTGGTGTAGTAGGGGTGTGTGACACACGAGGCTGTGAAAAAAGGCTTAGTATAGCCACTCTTCAAATCACACAATTTAGCATCAAGTTGTAAGGCAATTGAAATGGCATCATGCTAATCAGAAGGGCGCAGTAGCTTAACATCATATTTAAGTTCACGTTTCAATCCACCCAATAAACAACTCTTTAACAATATAAGCCCTAAATCATGGGTTCTATTTGCCAAACGCCTAAATTCAGTGATGTAATCTTTGAGAGTACCTGATTGTTTCAATTTGAAGAGCGTTTCAGCACTATCTTCAAACTCAGAGGCCCCAAATTCTTTGCAAAATGCGTGTGTGAAATCCCCCCACCGAGGAGTGGTGCGCAAGCAATCGTGCCATCGAAACCACTGGAGTGCCTCTCCTTCCAAGTGAAACGAGACTGTTAAGACCTTCTGAAGCTTAGGAATGGAATAGTAGGTGAAAAACTGTTCCGATTTATAAATCCAAGCAAATAGGTTTTCACCTGGAGTAAATCAGGGAAAATCGATACGAGGTTGCCAATTATGGCGAGGCCAATGAGGATCAAGGTCGCCAGGATCGTGAGGATCAGCGATGAGTGGTTGGGGAGGAGGATCGGTATCAGAAGTGGAACCTCCGCTCCCACGAGCACAAACTTGCTCCCGACAAAATTGTTCGAAGAACATCGCCATTTTTTAATAGATGGAGTCAGAGAGTGCAGCAACAAAAGATTCCAAAGCAGCAACTCGAGCGTCCATGTGAGATAATCGAGTGTTTGGATTGTAGTGGGGCATACAAAGAGGGATCCAGGATTAAAATTGGGTGATACCAATGTTAGGAACCTGCTCAACCTGTACAGTGTAGCAATGAAGATATGGAGTGGAAGAGGTAGAAGACGAGCAAGAAGCTCGTGTGAATTTCAATTAATAATACTCAAAATATTCGTCTGAGGAGGAATGAGGCCATTGCTCCATTTAAGTAGTCTTTCCACTCAGAAATGCCAACTTAGCATTCCATTACATAACCAACTTGCTAAAGGACAAACCATTTTATTTAATAAACTAAAATTACAACAAAAGGAATAAAATGCATTTCCTAACACCCTGCCCTTCTCCACCTCAGTCAATCCACCATTGTTTTCCACCACAACCAGATTCATCAGCAGCTCTCAAACCTCTTCTTCCCCACAGTAAGAAGCTACCCTGAATCAAATTCTTTCCTCCATACAAAGCGCTGCCACATTACTCGAATCCTTATACGAAAACTGCATTTTCCTCATCCCCAAATCGTTCAACCGCGTGCTGGTTGCGGCCACAGCCGAAAGCAGCACCATTTCCTTCCTATCCCAGCTTTTTCAGCTCGCAATCGCATCTTCTCAACCTTTAAATTCTGCTTATTTTCTCACTGTCGCCAAAGCTTTAGCAAAGTCGGATGATTGCGCGGAGCTGCTCAGATTAACCAAGCAGGTAATGGAGATCACCTCTCCCAGCATGACAGTTATAAACAGGATTATCTTTGCTTTCGACGAATGTGGAGAGACTGAGAAGGCGCTTCTGATCTTTTCCCAGATGAAAACTCTTGATTTCGTGCCTAATTTGTACACCCACAACACTGTTTTAGAGATTTTAGGATGTGCCGGTCTGGTTGATGAAATGCTGGGTCAGTTCGGGTCTATGAAAGAGGCCGGCATTGCCCCTGATGTGGTTTCTTACAATACGGTGTTGAACAATTTGGGGAAGCTTGGGAAATTCGATGTGTGCTTGTTTTACTACAAGGAAATTGGTGAAAATGGTGTGAAGGCAGATTTGCTTACTTATACTGCAGTGATTGAGAGCCTGGGAAGATCAGGAAATGTTGAGGAGGCATTGAGATTCTTTGATGAGATGAAGGAGAGGCAGATTCGTCCTTTCCTGTATGTTTATCGGTCGCTGATCACAAACCTGAAGAAGATGGGGAAGGTGGACTTGGCATTGAGTTTAACAGATGAGATGAATTTGTGTGATTCGGAGCTTGCTGGTCCAATGGATTTCAAACGTAATAAATGATTGTAAGTAGTTAGAAGGTGGACTTGGCATTGAGTTCATCTTGTTATTTCCACTGATGTAGTTGTATAGTGATTTAAATGTGCTATTCACTTTGTTTGCTCATTTTTGAAATTTGTATCAAACATGATTCGAATTCAACAGTTTTCTTCGAGCAAAGTTGTTTTTATTTGCAGACTGATGATCCTCATGTTACTAGTCTTATGGACTTCAAATAATATACACTTGTAAGTAGTTAGAAGCTGAAGTTATCTTTTGGTTTTCGGTTTCAAGATCTCTTGCTTTTGCCAATTCTTATATAGTTGTATACCAATTGGAATGATTTTGTATCAAGATTCAGATTTCGACACTTTTATTCGAGTGAAATCGTTGATATTAGCAGACACATGTTGCTAGGAAGCAAGAAAATAGCTTCATCTATTATTATTGCATAGCAGAGAAACCAGAGACTTACAAACCCAATTAACCAATACAAAATGCATACTTACTCCATAACAAGAGTAATGGCTAACTGAAAATCAGGTGAACTTTAGTACAAAAATTAACAAATTCAGTCGAGGTGAAGTTCCTCGACAATTCCACTTATTCTTCCTCAGCATTTTCTTCTACAAAACTCAATTCCTGGAAAACCTCTCCAATGGTGCTAAAGTAGGATTTTATCCCATCCAATTCCACTTATTCTTCCTCGGCATCTTCTTCTGCAAAACTCAATTCCTGGCAAACCTCTCCATGGGTGCTAAAGTAGGATTTCATCCCAACCAATTCTGCAACCCTTTTGGCTGGCCCTGAACCCCTCGGAGTATCAATCCCACATCGGACAGTCTTAATTTTTGGAAGCACATCTCCTATCTCAGCAATAACTGAAGGTGACTTGTTATGCTCTGCTGCACCTTGGTACACCACTATCTTACTTGGAATCTCATAGCTCTTCTTCACCCGGCACTCCGATCCTTGAC